GCCCCGCCCCCTCCCCGCCCCAGCGCCCCCCAGCGCCCCGCCCCCACTTTGTGAGCAGCGCTGGGCAGAAAGTTTAGGGGCAGCCGCTGAAGCGCAGCAGTCTTTATCTGGGGTGGGGTTGTGTGATTCCTTTTTTAATGTTTGTGCTTACTTATATTTTCTATCCCCCCCACACACACACACTGTTCCTGAAACTCTCTAGTAATTCTGAGTAAAGAAAAAGGAGAATACTGTTGATATAACCGTGCCACCTACTTCATTTCATCGGGCCTCCACCACCGTGTGGTGTAATTATCCACCCCGCCCCCCCAGCTTACGAGGGAGACAAGTGTGCTCCCAGACGGTCAGACCTGCCCGGGGTGCTGGCTGGAGCGCCCCCAGTCCCAGGCCGTCTCCGGCCGGGCTCTCGGGGCTGTGGGCGACGGTGGGGACACCTGGCTTCCGTCCTGTTCCTACCAGCATCATCGCGCCCCCACTGCCGTTCTAGCCTTCCGCTGCAAACTCACTGCAAGATTTGCGGGGAGGGACACAGGCGAAGACAAGAGCTGGCTTCGTAGATTCAAAGTCGTGTGCGTGTCTGGGGCAGGAGGGTACACCGCGCTGCCATGCTTTTGGGGCACTTCGCCCCGGCTTCACTCCTCTGACTGAAGGCAGCCACAGAGCCGCTGCTTCCTGGCTGAGTGACCTTGAGCCTCAGGATCCCCACATCAGTAATGGGTACCCTAATCTTGCACCCAAGGATGGCCGTTGGGGAGAGAATGAGGAAGTGGGTGGGCCGAGGGTGGAACACGTTGGATCCCCCTGTCCCGTCGACACCCCCTCGGGAGCTCCTGGCCGGCAGGGGTGGGAAGTTGAGTTGAGAAGCTGCAGCTCCTGCAGATACAGCAGGAATAGGAAATGCCCACCCGGACCATCTGGAGGGCACCCAGAGGGCAAAAGACCCCGGCGGGAATGGGGCCCGACTTCTTACCTGCTCCTCCGCGGGGCTGAGGCCGGGGGTCCTGACCGGTGCGTGGGGCACCCCAGCCCAGCGGCCCGGGTTCTCCGGGAGGGGCTGCAGTGGCAGGCCGGAGCATAGTGCCTGGAGGCTGGACATGTCTGGCTGAGACTGAGACGGAGGCCAGCTCTGTGGGGAGGCCAGGCAGAGACTGGGCAGTCATCGTCCCGCTGGGCGGGGACCTCCCGCTCCAGAGCCACCTCCTCCAGCCCCTCATTGGGCCCAGGGCCCGCAGAAGGAGCCAAGTATAGGTCATTGGGTCATTGGCCCCTAGCCTGGCTGCCTGCAGTGTTGACCTGAGGTGGGGGCAGTGCTCTGGGGAGAGGCAGGCTTCATGCAGGGGAGACTGCTACATAGGGGTCTGTTTGTCCTGTTAGTGGGGTGTTGGCCTTGAGGGGTTGCATTTTCTAGGACACAGCTTTGGAGAGCTGGTGGGGCTCTGACGTTGGGGTTTGCTTTGGCAGTCTTACCCCAGGCAGGCGATGTTGGGTTGGTATCTTGATGATGGAGAGCCATGTGATACTGGAGCTGGCACAGAATGCAGGGTCTGTGCAGAAGGCAGGCAGTGCTCCTTGTACCCCTCCTCCCTGCCACCCATGTGGAGGGCATGGCAGAAGCACCCCCAGCAGCAGGTGTACCTTCCTTGACTCCCAATGAGGTACACACTGCTTCATCCCCTTCCCAAAGCTCTCTGTGAAGGGCCCACCTGGAGATGGCTCTCATCCTCGATTTCATTAACAACTTTGCAAGAAAGTGCTCCAATCAGTCCTGTGCTACGGATGGGGAAACTGAGGCCCTGGTCTAACTCACGGCCCCGAAGCGACAGCGATAGAATCCTGGTGGTCCCGGGAAAGCAACACATCTGGGTGGTAATCCAGCTCAGCTGCTGACCGGCCCTGTGGCCTTGGGCTGTGTCCCAATCTACAAAAGTGGGTGGTAATTTACCACTCAGGCTGCAGGAGGCACAAATGGGTTGCGTAAGCACCCAGTGCAGTACCTGCACAAGGCAAGGGGTAAAGAACAACAAACATCTTCTGAGTGCTAACGCTTCTGAGCACATCACGTGATCCAGTTCACTTTGTCGCCTCATCGGCCCTGTGGAGTTCACTGTCCCATTCTATGGATGTGGAAGCTGAGGTGGAGAGAGGTGGTGGGAACTGTCTCAGGCCACCCAGCTGGTCATTGGCGGTGCTAGAATCTGAACCTTCAGAACCCAGAGCTCTGGCTCTATACACGCTCCCGGCCACTCTTGCAGTCTCCCTGGCAGACCTCATCTTCTGATGGCTCAAGGTAAGCCAGAAATCTTTTTGTGAGGCCTCCTCATTTTGAAATGTTTGCAATCATTTAAAAGATGGTTTTAAACATTGTGCCGAACAAGATGGTGGATTTTATCAACGTCAACGAACTGGTTGTGACCCTGCGCTGCAGTTTTGCAAGATGTTACCAATCCGAGAACTGGGCACATGGGATTGTTTCTTACAACATGAATCTACAAGAATCACAAAATAAATAAGTTCATTTTAAAACATCGTACAAGCTATGTAAAAGGATGAGGAGGTCAGGGATGTTACATATGCCAGACTGACTCTACCACTCACTAGCTGTGTGTCCTTGGACAAGTTACTCAGCCTTTCTATGCTTCAGTTTCCTCATTTGTTAAATGAAAGTAATAATAGTACCTACCTCATGGGATGTGTCCAAGAATTAAATGAGAACACATGTAAAGGTCTTATTGCCTGTTACAGAATAAACATCTGCTAAGATATTGTTAGTTTTCCAATTGTTGCCTGTATCAAAAAGCAAGGAACAGAGCAATGCATGTAGTACAGAAAATAAAGAGAAAGTGTGTGTGTGTGTGTGTGTGTGTGTGTGTGTGTACACTACAAAGAACTAGGGAGGGAAGGAGACTTTTCACTGTAAAACTCTGGTGCTTTCAACATTGTCAGTGCACTAAATGCCACAGAACTGTACACTTTAAATGATTAATTCTATGGTACGTAATAGAATAGAATTTTTCGATTGAAAAAACCTCTGGTGGTTTTGAATTTTGCTCCATGGACAAACCAAATAAATAATTTTAATTATTTATAAATAAAATTTAATTTATTTATAAAAATAATTAATATAAAATAATTTTAAAAATTTAATTATTTATAAATTAAAAAAATTTAAACTAATAAGGAGTAAAGAAAGGCAGGCAGGCACTAGAAGCCAAACCCAGTTTCGCTCAGTACGTGCCTCCCTGGTGCTTGATGGGGTCTCTCTCCAGTCATCAAGTGCCTGCCTTAGTTTCCCCACTGGTTGCCCCCAGTGGCTGCTTCTGTCCTAGCCAGACTCTCGTCCTAGCAACCCTTGGCGACAAGCACCACATAGACCAGCCCTGCCTGCCTGTCACCCCCAGTCCAGGCCACACTGGACCCCAATCTCTGCAGTATCCAGCTGGCCTTCCTGAGCCAGGCAGGACTTCTGTCTCTTGAACCATCGGCCTGGTCCCAGCTTCCCCTCCTTCTCCTCCATCCACTCTGCCACCCAGCGCACCTTCTCCTGAACCACCTGACCCAACCCCTCTAACTTGAAAATATACCCTGGACCCTGAGACTACCCCACCCTGGTCCATGCCCATCTTCTCTCCCAGAGATAGCACCAGCCTCTCTCCTGGTCCCCCACCTCCTCCCAGCCACCTCCAGTTGATTAGCAATACAGCTGCAGACTACTTAGAATAACCCATTTGTGGCCCAAGACACTCTGGGGATATGGACTCCCCATCTGCCTCTCTGAATTCTCCATCCACTCTCGTCGACCCCTTGTTCATACCAGCGGTGGTTTTAAAACATGCCAGCAAATCCTTGCTTGGGTGCTTCTCCAAGTGATGCCAGGGTACGTATGGTCCTGTCGCCTGAGTCTGAGCCAAACTTCGTGGTTATCGGGTAACCAACAGAAGGAAGCCTGAGACTCTATGGAGCAGCCCAAGTACCCCGGGACCCCAGGCTGGGGTGTGCCATGTGGAGGTGCTGAGGTCAACTGCCCAGCTGGGTTCTGGCGCATGAGGGAGCGCCATCAGGGATGGCCACCCCAGCAGCCTTCAGATGGCCAGTCCCAGCTGCCATCTGATGCAGTAGAATGAGACCCCCAGGGAGAAGCATCGAACTCAGCCCCTTCCCCAAATCTTGACCCACAAAATGGTGAGCAAAATTTATTTTAAAAAATTTTTTATTTTATTTGAAATCAATTAACATATAGTGTATTATTAGTTTCAGAGGTAGACTTTAGCGATTCCTCAGTTGCATAGAACACCCAGTGCTCATGATATCAAGTGCCCTCCTTAATGTCCATCACCCAGTTACCCCATCCCCCCACCGACCTCCCCTCCAGCAACCCTCAGTTTGTTTCCTAGAGTTAAGAGTCTCTTATGGTTTGTTTCCCTCTCTGATTTTGTCTTATTTTATTTTTCCCTCCCTTCTCCTATGTTCATCTGTTTTGTTTCTTCAGTTCCACATAAGAGTGAAATCATATGATAATTGTCTTTCTTGTGAGCAAAATTTAAATGGTTGTTTTAAGCTGCTAAATTTTAGGGCAATTTGTTAGGTAATAGCTACTGGCACATCGTATCAAGGCCTCAGCAAGGGCTGGTCCTCTGCCTGGAAATGTCCTCCTCCAGATACCTGTGTGGCTCCTCCTCACCTGACTCATATCTGCTCAAGTGTCACATCCTCCCCGAGGCCTGCCCCTACCATCCTCGCTCCTTATGTGCGGTATACATACTTCCCATCCCTTATCCTGCTTTATTCTCTTTATTGCACCATTTACCACCTGGCATGATCTTATATATTTTTTCCTGTTTTCTATGCCCTTCCCATTCTATAATGTAAATTCCATGAGGGCAAAGAGCCTATCTTGTTCTCTCCCCTGGAGCCCCTGCGCAGAGTGGGTAATTCAGTATCTGCTGAAGGAATGAATGTGAGCCCCTTTGAGAGGACAGAGGCTGCAGAAAGTGTCTTCACAGGGAAGATACTGAGGCCCTGGGCCTCTGGCAAGGCATATCCAACCCCCCCATCCCAAGACCCCACACTGAGGCACCCCCCATGGGCCTCCAGGGATCAGGTCTCCAGGAATTTTCTCCACAGGGATAGGCTGAGACATTGTTCTCAGCTTTGGCCACCAGGTGGCAGCCCAGGAGACCAAGACTCCTGCCCGAAGGCCCCAGAGGCTGGGACCCCTTACAGAGACTGTGGGGGGAGGGTGGTAGGATCTGGAATGCAAGTGTAGATTAGATTTGGGGCCCAATGGGCACGTACATGGCTGGAAATCCTTGGGTCCTGGGCCCAGAGCAGCAGCAGCCCTGCCTGAGGGCCCGACTGGGGCTGAGCGGGATGCATCCCAAGGCTCTCTGTCGGGTCCTTTGGAAAGCCATAATAATGAGCTTCTGGTTTTATCTGTGAGGGGCGTTTCCCACTTCTCTGCCATTTGAGACGTATCATCACCATTTGGAGCCATATCTTTAAGCCAACAGAACTATTATTTACTTAACATGTTTCCTCAAATAGACCTTTAAAACTTCAAAAAATGTAATAGGAAGGAACTTTCGTATCACCGCTGTAAGAGAAACCAGTCTTTTGCCAGAAACAGGCAGTAACTGTACAAATAAATTAATTCATCACTAACATCTAGGATTTAGATGGCCCTTACGGATCCACTGTACAGGGAATTGGGGCACAGAGAGGTTAGGCAAATTTCCCAATCTCACGTGGTGATTAAGTGGCACCTGCAGGGTTTGGAAACGGATTTTTCAAGAGCAGCTATAAAACTGTAGTTTACTGCAGGACCCTTTCCCACACACTCACACCGCCAAGTGTTGACTCAAGTGCACATGCACACACCTGCACACGGCATCAGCTGCACCCTTGGTTCCCTGTTAGCCTGACTTCTGGGCAGCAAGGCGCGAGGGTCAGGCCTGCTTCCTGGTCTCCCCACCCCACAGGGCTAGCTGGATGTTTCTCTTTCAAAGGCGGGACTTCACTCTCATCCCCTCACACACAGGAGTCCTGCGCAAGCTGAGTGCTCACCTGGAGGGTGGATCCCTTGCCAGGACCAGGTGAGGCCCAACGGCCCTGATGCCCAGCAGGGCAGGAACTGAGAACTCCCACCTCTCCTCCCAGAGCTGGTCAGGACCTGCATGAGCCAGAATTCAGGCAGGACCTGGAGACACCTGT